AAAGCTGTATCTTTGTATATGATTAGAACTAAAGCCAAACAACTTGCCAAACAATCACGTTTCACCACACTTTACCCAGGGATCAAAGAATGCAAATGGAGTAACAAATGGCTTGAATGTTTTATGCATCGCAATAAATTAAGTAATAGGCGCCGTACTACCATTGCACAAAGGTTACCAGAAGAGTTAGAATCTAAAAAAGATGAATTTTTAAGTTACATATTATTTTATCGCATGCGTTACAACTACCCTCTTTCACTTATTGGAAACATGGATGAGATACTTTTGACATTTGATGTACCCAACAATTTTACGGTTGAAGAAACTGGAGCTTACACTGTCGGAATCCGTACGACTGGTCATGAAAAATCCAATTTTACAGTTGTCTTGAGCTGTTTAGCTGATGGAACCAAATTGCCTCCCATGATAATCTTTAAATTAGTAAATGTACCATGACAAACATTCCCACCAGGTATTATTATACGAGCCAATAAGGAAGGATATATGAACTCCAATGAAATGATTTTTTGGATTGAAAAAATTTGGAATTGTCGTGCTCCTTTGTCTATTAATCTCTGTTCGTTACTAGTTTTAGATTCATTCAGTGGTCATATTACAGATCCAGTTAAAAACCGGTTTAATGAGAAAAATACTAATATCGCAGTTATTCCGGATGAACTTACGAAGAAATTACAACCATTGGATGTATATCTTAATAAATCTTTCAAAGATAAGGTAAACTAATATATATATATATTGTCAATAAAAAACTACACTTTGAATCTTTAAATTTATAATTTACCAAATATAATTTCTAAAAAATCAGACAAAATCTGGTAAATTATAAATTTAAAAGCACGAAGTGTAGTTTTCCTTTGGTACAGTAGCACTCATATATATTATATATATATGTGCATATATATATATATATTTTAATACATTACAATTATTATTTATAAATTCAATAACTTATTAAGTATCGCAAGTGCTACCTTGACTGGATGGGTGAGGAAATCAAGAAATTAACGCCTACAGGTCGTATCCAACGACCCGCTTATAATATGGTGGCCAGATGGGTAAAAATCACATGAGACCAAGTTGATCCTGCCTATATTAGATGGTCGTTCAAGTGTTGTGGTATCTCTGTTGCTCAAAATAGATCTGAAGAAGATATAATGTTTAATTATGATTGGGTAAAGAATCCGGAGGTTCATAAGTATAGTAACTACATACACGTTGGTGCGAACAGCGCAAGCAATGGTAAAAGTGTTGTCGACTTGACATTAAACGATAATGGTAGTAGCGATAATTATTTATTTCAAACAAGATGAGGGAAAAAATTACACCTTAGCCAAGTAAGAAGAATGATTTATCAACGAAACAAAAAAGCAAATTTAAATAAGCACATCAGTCCTCATATATTTAGGCATTCACTTGCTACTTTATCGAATAATAGTGGAATAAAGTTAACCACTATTCAAAAAGTATTGGGACACAGTGATATTAACACTACCTCCAACTATATTCACAATTCCTATGAAGAAATATTTAAAGATTATAGTAAATTATGAAAACTAACTCAACTCATAAAATTATAATATAGTTGATTGGAATTGCTAAACTTTAACTAACTTCATTTAATATCTTGAACCGTTTGACATTAGAGTAAACTTCATTTTTACTTATAATATATAGTTCACTAAAAGCTAAATCAATTTTAGTCTGCAATAAAATTAAAAACATAATTTACAAGAGATTCACAATATAGGCTTTGTCTCTTCCTAATGCCCAGACATAATCTGGTCAATTTCTAATGATTTATTTAAATTTACAAACGAATTTGTACAGTTATATTGATGTATAATGATTGTAAAAGCCTTCAAGAGACTTTTATTATGTAATAGATTACTCCACGATTATTCAATAACACATTTGATATATATGCAGATATTGTTATATGTAGTCATGCAATAAATTGAATAAGCTATTTGTCTTACTTATTGTTTTATTTTTTTGTTTCTATGATTGCAAATTATATTTCTGTCTGGTTTTAGGGCTTTTAATCTTATACATTATCGTATTCAACCATTTCATCTTCGTAATACGTGTCTTCCTCACTTTCGTCCACATCTTTGTCTTCACCCAGGCTAGCTTCATTGTCATCAGTGCAATCGCCATTATCATTATCACTATCGTCATTATCGCTATCATTATTATCACCATCATCATCGTTATTATTATCGCCATCGTCATTATTACTATCATTATCACTACTACCATTATCGTTTAATGTCAAGTCGACAACACTTTCACCATCGCTTGCGCTGTTCGCTAGGGTGTTCAACAAACTAATTAAATCAAATATTATTTAGGGTGCATATGATAAAAATTTTTATGAAAATCCGAAATTACTGCGGCTAATAGTAACTTTCGGTACAGTTTTCTTTCGAACTAATATAATAATTGCTAGTTTAATTTTTGAAAAAAGAGATACTAACTTGCTTAGAGTAACGTAACAATGGCAGTTTTTTGATTTATCATTTTTATAGGTGGTTGATTCTACAAAAGGACAAACTGATTTTAATTGAATTTTGACAATAATAAATTTATTAATTTTACAAAACAAAGGTTGTCATCGAAAAGAGTGAAGTAAAAGCTACAGAATAAAAAAAAATTTGTCATAAAAATATTGTGTTCTTAACTCAAAAATCGTACCTTTATCTTGTGAATTAAAAAAATAATTAAAAATTAAAACAATGGCACATCCCAAAACAACATTCAAACGACGTAAGCAATTAAAAAATGCACGTGAACAACGTCAATTTTCTAAAAAGAAAATTGATAGTAGTGCAAATAAGAGTAGTGAGAGTAGTGCCAATATATTAATAAGTTCGCAACTATTAAATACAGAGATTAGTTCGCAACCCTTAAATATAGAGTTTAGTTCACAACAATTAAATATAGAACGTTCACAAGTATTAAATACAGAACGTTTATCATTAAATAATGTTCAAGAGGTTGATTATATTCAAGAAACTGATATCCGGCAACAAAAAATTGATAAACTTCTTGAGCATGTAATTGATTTGCCGGATTCAATTCTTACAACATTTGTAGTCATAATTAAAAATGTTGCCCAAGAACAACTTAATCAACCAAAATATTTAAAATCGTAGAATGCATTTTTAAATATAGTAAAAAAATATGGATAATAATGATGTAAATCTTAGTACATCATTATTGAAGCTCATGAGATATAAAAAAGGGCCTAAAATTAGAAAGATTTTTTCAAAACATTTACAGAAAAAAGCTCGTGATTTTATTGAAACATCAATATATCGTTCATATATTTGAAAAAACAATCATTTAAAAACGATTCTACTAAAAATATCTCTATTAATCTTATCAAAGTCAAATCACATTCAACCAATTCTCTTCATAATCAAGCCGATTC